TACATGAATAAAGATATTTTGAATTTGAATTAGAGGAGTATTTTTCTGCTGCTAATTTTTCCACCAGCAGTTAATGGTGGTGCACGATTCACGATCTACTAGAAAAATCTTCGATGGTACACTATTGTACAAGCATGAGTTGCCATGAGATGACAAGTGATAATAGTGATATGGTGTACGATGGTGTCGCACCGTCCCCCGGGACTCGTGTCGTGATGCGTGTCAATCTACACACGTGGCGTGGAATGGTAGGTGAGGCCCATAAAATGGATCGCGCCAATGCGGTCCCCGCTTAGGGTTGCCAGATCGACAAACTAACCCAATAGCCGGACAGACCAGTCAGAATCAGCCAGTTAAATATTGCTAAATTCTAATGAAATATAATTAAATGCTTACTTTATTATTAATTAGTTAAATATAGTCATCAGTCAAAAATAAATTCTTGATAACAATTTATCAACAACTGTAATTAACCTGCTGTTATACACACTATAAGTCTTATTACCCAGTTGTTGCCTCAGTAAGTATATAAAAACAATCTACACAAAACAAGACTTCTCTATGCATTAAACAATGATGAAAATAAAAATAATTATCTGTTTTACAATAAAAATAATGTAAAAAGCCTAGCAAAAGCAGGATAACCCGAGCACCGTTTATTTTGGCCGGACAAAAAGCCTAACTATGTCCGGCATTATCCGGACACCAGGCAGCCCTGTCCCCGTTGCTGGCTGTTTGTGCCGCGTAAAAAAAACCCCTTTCTAATTACTTCAAAACGATTTGTAAAGGACAGTCTTCACAGTTAAAAGATAAACCATATGAGCATGAGCATGGTATAGTAAGGTAGGTATGTGCAAACCGGTCGACTCCAGACCATAAAACTAATAACTATGTATTCTATAAATACCATGAAAGATATTATAACAACCGGTATCATTGTGAAGTTATAATTCACTCAACTCACTCGCAAAATATAATAGTTATATACTCGTATATGAACATATATATAACTAGCTGTTCCCGCGACGACGTCCTCGTGGAATTTACAGACAGACAGACAAAAATTGTAAAAAATGTTATTTTGGTGTATGTACCGTATTTATATTCATATGCATGTAGTAGAAAACGGTTATTTCAATATTACAAACAGACACTCCAATTTTATTTATATGTATAGATAGGAAGAATTGTAAAGCCCACGAGGACTCACATTTTAGAAAGGACGAGTATGTAAATTTTATTGTATTTTGTGTGTTTACATAACTTAATTGTACAACTATGAACCGAAAATTAAAAAGTTTAAAAAATATAATATAATAACTAAAATATATTATTAAAAGGAGTCCCTTTAGGCAAAGTTCCGGAGATACTGGCAGCGTTCCCTCTTTTGTGTATGTTATGATATATTTCGCATGTATGTATTTGTTATGATGTATATGATTCTTTTTCTCGGTGTCTAGTGTTGTCTGCCGTGTGAGTGAGTGTCATATTAATGACGTCACTGTTGAAAATGATTTTTTTTGGAACAATACGTTAATTTATTTCTCATTAAATACATATTAGATTGTTTACTATCATATTAACTAAAGAGATATTACTTAACTAATATCGCAAGGAAATGATCATATACCTCCTAGTAACATTAATCACGTAATACAGTTGCGACTTTGTGTTCGGGGTCGTCTCGTAACCCAGCCAATAGTAAAACTTATATGTAATAATAGAAGCATTAACACACGATACAATTCGGCTGAGCTCAGTCCGCGATCTTTTCACCCGTTGTTTTTGTTTTATATCTTTTTAAATTTAGACTTTTGTGCCATCTAAGTACCTACATGGCAGTTGCATTGTATAATGTATTGAACAGCGCCTGGAGGTCTCCGTGGTCGGTTGCAGAATTAAACGATTTGTGCTTGTGGCTACACAAATTCGTATTGTTTAATTGGATCATTTTCGCTTTGCTTTGCTGTGCGAAATAAACTAATATTATAACGGATATAAAAGAACGTATACGACGTTCTTCTGACTGACTACTGACTGAACTAGAACAAGAACATTCAGGAATAAATATAACAATTATTTTTAACGAAATTGATGGGCATGTACAGGTATGTACCTAGTCTGGACATTGTGTTAGTACTATTAGTGCCTGCTGTCTGTTACAATCTCACACTCACATTAGCTCTTATTGAACGGGTACCGACCGTTGTGGCGTGCGTACATATAGACCGGAGTATGTTAGGTATCAGGTTAAATTAACGCATTACTATAATGTCATGTAAAATTATTCTATCAGGAGAGGCAGCGAGCTGCGTGTGTCACCTAACATTTGGTGGAAGAGCGAGCGAGTGTGGGCGCGTGTTGTGAACCTACATCATTTACTTAAATATTTATAATTCACAAGTCAACCGCCGTCAAAAAATATGTAAAGAATCATTTGCATCAGTAATACAACAGGAACTTTCTGACCTGTACAATAAAAGAGCGATATAATATTTATCGCATTCAGGGATATATACATATATAAATAAAATTAGAGTCTGTTTGTAATATTTAAATAACCGTTTATGCATATGAATATAAATACGGTACATACACCAAAATAATATTTTTTACAATTTTTGTCTGTCTGTCTGTTTGTTCCGGCTAATGTCTGAAAAGACTGGACCGATTTTAAAGGAGATTGTAATAAGGAGTAACTTAGGCTACTTTTATTTTAGAAAAAAAAAGTTAAATTCCATGCGGACGAAGTCGCGGGTACAGCTAGTCGAATAATAAAATAACAGTGGAGTGTAATTTATTAAACATACTATTATTTTACGAAGACGAAGTCGCGTGTACAGCTATATAGTCATTAATAAACAGACGAAATTAAAAAATGCGACTAAAGTCTTTAGATATACTCGTATTTTTAGGATATAGATAATTGAAATGCAGGTGGGCCGCTGAGTCGTAACTTGTAACGTATACGCAGAATAGAGTATAAATAGACACGCGAACCGACCGCGTCATCTGTGAATGCGGCTGTCTACTACCGTCTACTACTGTCTACTACTGTCCACACAGACAAACCTGAAGCTGTGCCATCAAATACGACAAGCTGAATAACATCCCGACGAGGGCTTGCGGGACCCTCTAGTATATCAGTTAAAACTAGCTGTACCCGCGACTTTAACTTAATTTTTCTAAAATAAAAGTAGCCTAAGTTACTCCTTATTACATCAGCTATCTGCCAATAACAGTCCGTCAAAATCGGTCCAGCCATTTCAGAGATTAGCCGGAACAAACAGGCAGGCTGACAGACAAAAATTATAAAAAATGTTATTTTGGTGTATGTACCGATTTATATTCATTTGCAAGTAGTAAAAAAACTGTTATTTCAATATTACAAACAGACACTCCAATTTTATTTATATGTATAGATGTATAGATAAATATAATAAAATCAACATGTAGGTACTTACTGGTCCATGCGTTAATGTTCTGTGGGTGTATCAATCCTGAACATATTGTAAACCACGACACAACATGAACAGGCTCGCAGACACATTTTATAGTACAACTGATATTCACTGGGTGGATACTGCGTACTGTACTACGTGCTGGTAGCTGCACACATAACGCCTCTGACTACCATCATTACCATACTTTATAACAAAGTTGTAACGACACTATGTCAAACTAACAGTTTGTGTATAACTCACAACCGGAGGACGCACTCACAACAATGTTTGACACATTAAGTATTTTAATTGTGGTCTAACATGTCTGCTAAAGGAACTTTATAGAAATACCCCCAGAATGTTGAAATCGTCATTTAAAGTTATTTTTTAAAATAAAGCAAATTTATTGTCATTGTTTTAAATTTTTTATGAGTTTCAAAACTAGACATTATCAACTTTAGTAAACACTTACACACTGAATCCTTTATATTGTTCTCGTTTTTTTTAAATGAACATTTCCGGGTGTTATTATTACATTTACAATTGTCCGGACGACTGCAATAGTTTATATAAAATTAATTTTAAAACTGCATTCAACAAAATAGATTGCATCAATGATGGCGTCGAATAGTTATTTTATTAATACAGTATGTATTTATGTTATGACCATTTGTAAAAAAGATATGCTTAAAAATTGTGTTTACATTTTTCTTAATAAAACAAATGAATGTACATCATATGATATAAAATTTCAGAAACATTTGTCAGTGTTTCTTACTTACTAGGCCAGAGTTAATTAAAATTTAAATAATGAAATGAAATCATAAAATAAAATAAACAGTTGCAAAATTATATCTACGTGTAACTTCATTTTATGTAATGATTAACGTTTTGGATAATATTTAGAAATAATATTATAAATGAAATGAATGAATGTGTGTTGTTTAAATGATTTTGAAAATTTACAAATAATGCAAAGATTATAAGACTCAGCATGTAGATGCCTAGTCTCTAAAAGATTTAAGATAGAGAAAGAATCTTAGATATGTTTTAAACACGTGTATGTATACATGTTTAAAAATTATCTAAGATTAATATCAACAATTAAATAATTAGTGATGAGAAATTAGAGCGCGGCCGTGACTTACATAAGTACAGCTATGTGTTGAAAATGAATCAACAAACAGTTTAGGGTATGAGGTAAGAAACGCTGTTCACTTTGACGAATCCTAAAGTGATCGTATGTCGGATGTCTGAGGATCTGAGGAGCTACCTGCGGGGCCGGATGCACTGTGACCTGCGGCGGGTGTCGGGTGCACCCGGTGCCTCCGCCTGATGTCGTCGTCAGTCGCCGCGCCGCCGTGTACGATCAGCTCCGTTGTTGCCGTACGCAGTACGCAAGATTTACTCGTTTACTCATTACACACTACTGATCCGATTCTACTTTCTTTTAGTCACCAATATCTAAACAGAGCACGTTCTCGTTTCTACGACCGCGAGAGGTACGCGGCGGTGTCGCCGTCGGATGCTGGTAGCGGAAGTGATGGTAGCGGTCACCTGCGGGTGTGTGGTGCGGCGGAGTGTTCCGGGCACGGGGGTCGCCGGCTCGGGATCGGGTGGAGTACGCGGGCGTGGTGTCAGCTGCACATGCCGCGCGGCGGGCTGCGGGGGCGGCGCGGGCTGCCGGCCGTGTCGGCGCTGGCGTTGGCGGGGTCGGCGCTGGCGTTGGCGGGGTCGGCGCTGGCGTTGGCGGTGTCGGTGTCGGCGCTGGCGGAGCGCGTCCGGCGGTACAGTGACACGAGCGTGCGTCGACGCGGTCTGAGCGCGACTACCGTGAAATGCGGCGCTGCGCTGCTGACAAATATACTGTCGTCTATCAGAGGCGGTGTTACCAGTACAAATGAATACTCATTCCTTAACTATATTTTATGTACGACTTGAGGCAAATTAATTAGGTAAATATATTGAGTCATCGCTGTTAACAATTAGTACTGTTGTTACATTTGCGCAAATTGAGTTTCGTAAGAGATAAATGTTAGGTATACCACTAAATGTGTATTGTATATCGATGCATCCTATACACATCAATAAAATTGGAGTGTCTGTTTGTAATATTGAAATAACCATTTTTTACTACATACATATGCATATAAATACGGTACTTACACCAAAATAACATTTTTTACAATTTTTGTCTGTCTGTCTGTCTGTTTGTTCCGGCTAATTTCTGAAATGGTTGGATCGATTTTGATGGGACTTTTATTGGCAGGTAGTTGATGTAATAAAGAGGACCTTAGGCTACTTTTATTTTAGAAAAATTAAACAAAATTCCACGCGGACGAAGCGCGGGTACAGCTAGTCCAGTATATAATATTCTCTTATCTGTGATATTCAGAGACATATACATGTTGGCTCAGGTTAATAGGTGTATTTAGATCAATGTTAATAACACTAATACCTAGTAAGTAGAACAGTAAATCTTCACAATGTAGGCGGATCTGTCTTAATCAATCAAGTTTATTATCTGTCTGTGTATACACGAAGATGAATAGTAGGCTCCCCGACGGACGGGTAGACACAGGCGAGGTGGCAACACCGGGGGAGCGAGATGCGCCGCACGCTGCGCGGAGGCTGCGACTCCAGGCTCCATCCCCCGTCGCACCCCGTCGCACCCCCGCCGGCCCGCGCTCCCCTTGTGACAGCTGTACCCTCGCCGCGCCGTCCTACCCTTACCCCAGGAAAACGTTTTCAGACGTCAGTCACATGGTCACCCACAGCGACTCTCAATTGTCCATTTTATTTGCACATATTTCTAGTATTCCTTGAGATAAAAATAAAAACGGTGTAGAGATAACGTAAGTATTATGAACTAGTGGTGGCTGGGTGGTCAATATTCGACCATAGTCCATTAGAATTACATTACAATTTGTATTGTAGGTGTGTTATTATATCGTGAGAGTTATCCGTTGGTGCAGCGTGATGACGCGCTGTGCGTACGAGCGTGCAGCGCAGACAGTGCGGCGACGCGACAGCGCGGACACCACGCACCACGCACCACACACGACCTCACATCATAATGCACAATTGCACACATGCACATTGAACTATTTGGGTTTTTAATCTATCGTACAACACCTTTAAATGTATCTAAGAATTTGTAGATAGACGTTTGGATAGAGATAGATAAGCGTGTTACAGCTCGAGTATTATCTAATTACTAACTGACCCGCGCAACTACGTCTGCGTTTCATTTCACCAGCTTTTCCAATATTTTTCATTGCAGCTCCGCTCCTAATGGTCGTAGCGTAATGTTATATAGCTTAAAGCCTTCCTTGACAAATGGACTATCCAACACAAGAAATATTTTTCAATTCGAACCAGTAGTTCCTGAGATTAGCGCGTTCAAACAAACAAACTCTTGAGCTTTATAATATTAGTAATAGATTTTTATATCCTTTAAGACGATCACTGTCGGGTATAAGAGATTGAAACTCTATTAAAATATATATTATATTTATTTATATATATATATTTTAGACTATGCTTTTGCAATGGCATATGCTGGTGGTCACTCTATTTTCCAAAAAATGAATTTAAAAATGAATCAGTATTATTGTAAACATGTACAATATTCATTTGTAAAGAATACGAGCTAAGTTTCTTGTCAGTTCTTCTCATCTCGAAATCATTCCGAACTGACGGTAGATTTGACATATCATAGACCTACATGAAAAAAGATATTTTGAATTTGAATTAGTGGTAGCGTATGGATGCTTGCAGTATCTGGTCTTCGGGAGTGATGACAATATATGTAATTTAATATTATAGTTAGAGTACTGGCGCGGGACGTCACTGCAACACTGCGCGATAATATACATACATATGTTGTTGTTAGGGTCGCAGCCGCTATGTCACAATTAAAATAATATGGCTGACTATACGAGCGATAGGACACGCCAGACACACTCTATTTTTTAGATGTTCTGGCTATTATCAGTGTAATAGGGATTGGTAAAGTAAGTTGCAAATGTCTCCTTCCAGCAATGGTACTTCCGAACCGATACGATATGGAAACTTCAAAAGAGAGCTTATTCCTTTTTAAAAGGCCGACAACGTACTTGCAATTCCCCCGGTGTTGCGGGTGCTCATGGGCGGCGGTAGTCACTTACCATCAGGCGAGCCGCTAGGTCGTTTCTCCCCTGTGTTATTAAAAAACTTGCAAATGGGATGGGAACAAGAGTTTACTGACTGCTTTACATAAATGAATTATTCATGTATCTTATATATTTAGATTACTATGTCTTATTAATTATTATTATATTCAATATGTAAATGTTTATAGTAGACGTATTACAAAAAACTGGCTGCGCCACTACGCTTGAGTCACGTGGTCCTCAATGAATTGTAATGCGACCTCATCTTTTTTTATTTAATTGATTTAATTAATTGATATAGGTACATAGGTGAACATTCCGATGTAGATTTATTATTGAACGATTGCGTCGCACAGCAAACGAGCTGACAGTAAGCTAAAATAAGATTCAATTATACAGGGCCCCCGACGTGCGTAAGCAAAAATGACATCCCAGATTTTTTTATTTCCTACTAGCTACTTGCCCCGGCTTCGCACGGGTGTACATGTATATATAAACTTTCCTCTTGAATCACTCTATCTATTAAAAAAACCGCTTCAAAATCTGTTGCGTAGTTTTAAAGATTTAAGCATACATAGGGACGGACAGACAGCGACCGCGACTTTGTTTTATACTATGTAATGATGAAATACAAAAGTAAAAAAAATGTTTTTTTTTTCACATCAACTATAAATGATTTAATAAATCAGTTAACCAAAAAAAATGCAAGGAGAAGAAAAAAATGCTAAATTTTTACAAACAATTCAAATTAAACATACACTATGTTTAATTTAAATTGTTTGTAAAAATTTAGAAACAGTGACAGATACTATGATAATTATGTTGAATTAATATTTCTTTTAATTTTATACATTTTTTTTCTTTTGTGAGAAATCTTTACCCTTCGTAAGGGCCCCCAAACAAGGTTTTACGGGGCCCCGCCAGAGCTGGCAACGTTTCTGTTCGATAGATTTTTGTTGTAGAATTTGGTGTCCGTCGTTGCATTATATAGTGGCGGCCACGTGTGTGGTGTGGTGACTGTTCTCGTGACACGTGCCATTACCGTCGACCGTCACCAAATTATATACAATTACACCATTTACGTAATTATATTGAAGCGCGTTACATTAAAGACATTAATCCTATCTGTGGTTTTATGCGTATTAGCGGAATTAGAATAGATTGGATGGTAGCCACCTACTATAATCTGCTGTGTACACAGTTTGACGTAATTGAGGCAGTAGTGGAGGCAGCCTGCCGCCGGTACTGCGACGTGGAGCGAGCTCTACCGCGACCGGCGACTGATACGCTCGCACTACTGATATGGTAACAGTCGGCTAATGGCGGGACACCAATCAACCGTAAAAACAAGAAAATAAAATCATTAACCCCTAATTAGAGAACATGCCGGGGAACATAATAACACAAGGCGAGCGTGCTCGTCGGACTGATACTGATACTGATACTGATACACTTCCACTAATAGAGTTATTAGTTATTTTTAAACTTTCGTGTTTAATATAGATACATTATTTATATTGTTGTCAGCTATCTACATTGACATCGCTGATACTCCAGTCAGCTGGTGACCACGGCTAGTGCAACCTAGTCAAACGAAACGTCGCGTCGCCGCGTCGAGAGAGGTAAATATTATTATTTGACATAAAATTTCGTGTTAGGACCGGGTTAATAATTTAAATAATAGAGTTATTATCCCAACACTAAACTCGCTGGCGTAGTAACAACACCCACACATAATAATAATAATAATCTCAGGACAATTCACACAGCGCCATCTAGACCCAAGTTAGCCAGCTAAAGCTTGTGTTATGGGTACTAGACAACTGATACATGTACATAGGCATTTTTTACGTAAATACATACATATTATATATAGAAAACACGCAGACCGATACAAACAATCATACTCATGAATACAAATGTTTGTGCCGTGCTTGGAATCGATCCCGCGCCTATCGTAAGTAAGGCGGCGTGCGTGTGCTAGACCGCTAGACCACCGAGGTCGTCAAACATACATCATTATGAGTTACTTCAAGGAATATTCAGGAGAAAATTTGCATCTCTGACTGCAGCGTAATACATACGTACAGTTATTTATCTTGTATAATATTATATTTCTATTTCCTTCCAATTAAACTAAAATAAATGTGCCAGAACCATTCAGATATATAACCCATAGATATAACAGTTCTCGCGAATCTGTAAAAGTTGAATTTACATATAGCCCAAGTTACTCCTTATTACATCAGCTACCTGCCAAAAAAAGTCCCGTCATAATCGGTCCAGCCATTTCAGATATTAGCCGGAACAAACAGACAGACAGACAGACAAAAATTGTAAAAATTGTTATTTTGGTGTATGTACCGTATTTATATTCATATGCATGTATTAAAAACGGTTATTTCAGTATAACAAATAGAGACTCTAATTTTATGTATATGTATAGATTTGATTGGGGACCGCGAGGTGGAGGCGCGTGTCCGCGCGCGTTCAACTCTTTATGAGGAGA